GATTTCATTCAAAGCGTAGGAATCTTCCATTGTAAAACTCTACATATATGTTTGCATCATAGTAGTAATGGAGTATCTTGTTTTTTTTCTTTTTCTCACAAACATTAGACAACATTTGACACAATGAGGTTAGGGACACTTTCTTATTGCAAACTAGAACACCCACAAAACTTCAAAAGCAATTTCAAAGTTACCAAGAATAGATCTTTCAGTTCTTGAAAGCCCCTTTTGCTAGCTAGGAAAAAGAACACCAAACTATATAGAAAACAAGGTTTGTCTAAGCTTAGAACTCAAACAAATGCATACGAAAATTTGCAATATACTACCAACTCGTCTCGAGTTGCATTTCCAAGCTATATATATTGTACATTACATATATCATGCTATACAAAATAAACATGCAATCCATTGCCTCGAATTCAAAAAATCTGAATCGCAGGTCTGGTCGGACCGATCCACGGTCCCACTTAGTGGATACAACCATATATCATGCAAAAGAGCATGGCTACTAGTAGTAGAAATTTACTTGAGCAAGAAATCAAGATGGAAGAAGAAGTTCAGCTTGGGGGAAGGAAGTGTTGGAAGGCACATCTAGGAGCAAGTCTTGATCTGAACTTTCCAGTAGAGGGGAACTATTAGAAGGGGGCAATGGAAATAGGCATTTTGGAGTAAACAATGAGCCCCCCTTTTCTTCATTTCCATAACTGCCCTCATTCATCAACCTTTCGGAACATTTCATTGTAGTAGCTGGTACTGAAATAATTATAAAAAAAATTATGCACGAGGCAATCGAATCAATACCATAGTTGGGGTACAAACGTCATATGAAGTGGGTATAAGGTTTACAAAATCCATAGTTCACCGATTTCTCAAATAACGGTATGGTTCCAGTGACACTGGGTACCGTTGACACTGCAGTGTCAATGCTGTTTTGGGACACCTACAGTGCTTCGTTCGTAAAACTGATGGTTCATACCCCCCCTAATCCTCCACACTAGCCCGAAGCCACCCCCGGACCCTTCACTTTCATCCCCAAAATTTTGTTGGCTTTGGGCTCAAATTTTTTTTCCTCAAATACAACAAAACTTTGGAGATGAAATTGAAGGGGTTGGGAGTTTACCGAGGGTTAGGTCGTAGGAACCATCAATTTTAGGAATGGAGCATGCTCCAATTGGAGCTGATGTCATCCGTTGACACTCAAAATGAGTGTCAACCGAACCCAACCGGTCAAAGAAATATTGCAAACCTGGAAAGAGTTTCTGACGGTGTCCATCAAGCGATCTTTTAACGTTCATTGAGTGACCCGTGCCAACATCATCATGCACTATCGCAGCTTCAGAGCCACTGCTATTGACTTTACTCTTCACATCCTAAAAAGTGCAGTAAAATTAGTTTCTATGGTGTAGTTTGGTAATAATATCACTTATGCTTTTAGTTTAAATTTACACACGCATATGATTACACCAAATTTTTGTTTATTACGGGTTGGATGAAGCTAAAAGAGTCATCATTGACATTGTTTTTTTAGCTTCTGGAAAATAATGGACTAAATCAAAATGACACATTAAACGTCCGTGTTGCTTTCTTTCTATGAAATTTAAGGTAGTAATTTTAGCAATGCATCAAGGTTCTAAGTGAAACAGCCTCTTTGTTGAAATTATATTGGATTTCGTTTTCGTATTCAATTACACTACATTTCATATTTGTTCACTCTCATGCATAATCTAAGTTCAAACCTTGAGAAGATTATATTCTTCCACCCACTTAGACTTTGTCAAGTAACACATCACAAATCTCTTGAGCTTTTTACGATCTTCTAACGTCGCCCCAGAAAAGGAGTTGTCAAAAACCCCTTCCGCAAGTAGTTTCTGGAAGCAAGATAAGTCCTCTTTGAACTGTGAGCTCTCAAACATGCATATAAAGCTAGAAATGGATAAACAAGTAAAACTATTAGTCTTGGCAAAAAGTGTAGATATGGTTTTTAACAAGTGGAGATATAGAGATAATACAAACCTATCTGGAGGAGCAGAAGTATCAACAGATGGCAAGTATTTTAGTAGTTTCTGCTGCTCGTCCGTTGTCAATTCACTTGTGAACACCTCAAAATTGACAATATCCTGCACAAAGTATTTTCTAGCATTTGATAGAGTTTTAGGAATCGGGTAAAAGAATAATAAGGAATAGAAATGAGGCCCTACACACTCATTAAGAAGTCTACACTTAAAAATGGATTAATTTAGACATAAAGTATGTCTACATTCATTCATCCTTCAATGTATCAAGAAAGTGTTAATAGACAGTTAAAAAGGGATGAAGGGAGTGGGACTTTTGAACCAGAAAAGGAAACATAATGGATGTGGAGAATTTCAATTTTCAACAAAGCACCGATAGATGAACGGATGGGGTTGTGGGAATCTATGCTCGCATGTTTAGCTGATTTAACATGGGGGAATAACACTAATGGATACTTACCTTCAAGTCTATGTTACATAAAGGCGAAGTGTGATGCCCCAGCATTTGCAACTTTTCAAGCCGGTCCTTATTCCTGAAACAAAACTATATAATATGTCTCTCGAACAATATACTAAAAATTCTCTCGAACAATATGCTAAAAACAGATTGTGAAACCCAACTCTACTACAGAAATAAGAACTACCCATTTGAGCATTTAAGAAAAGATATCAAGAACTTAATCTATTTTAAGGCATAAGATAGCTATGCACCTAACATGGGATGCTTCTAAGTTCTAAGAAATGAAAGTAGTACCTTTTCACCAACTCTTGCTCCACTCCTTTTCCAGTGGGCCTTTTGATGCTCTCAGTTCCCAGAGAGGGTGACTTAAAACCATTAATATGAGTACGTGAAGGTGGAGGGGTAGTCCATGGGGAATAAGCCTCATTTACAGGGTTTTGCTTGTTATCAACTGAAAGAGAGCTGGCTTCTGAGTCTTCGCCTTTACCTGAAAGTGAGCTTGGATGCCGAATGAGAACACTTCCATGTCCTATCTCAACTGAGACCATAGGGTTATCACTCTCGAAAAGCAAATCCTCTTCAGAAGATCCAGAGAAATAAGAACATTGCTGCTCCTGTAATATAGAACAAAGGTCTTTGGTAAGCTTCTCAACTGGAGACGGCTTTGGACGACCGACACATGTTCTCTTCTTTGAAGGCACCATCATGTCAAATGAATTAGGCAGTGTTGGACCTGGAAACAAAACTAGTAGTTAGTCATTCGATGGAGCCATTAATTGGAAGATTTGAACCTGTCTGTAAATCATAAAAAATAACTTCAACTA